TCTAACCCGTTTTCTAGAGCTCACAAAACTCTCTCAATAAGAAAAACTGCAGCGATGTTTTTCTTTTTCWCATRAACKGCCAACCCTAAAAGACTTCACTTCCCTCTTTTTATATTCTTCGAGTAAGTGAATCTTCTAGRTTGCCCTAAYTTGATACGCACACTTCCCGTATCTTCTTCCATATCTTCAACTTCCATATTCGCATATATCTTCTATTAAGTCCATATGCCACGTCACTCCTAGATTCCATGCTTCTTTGAATTCCAAATAATTTAGCTAAAAACTCTCCTCTTTCAATGTATGGTCTCATTATTAGGTTGCAAGATCATTAAAAACACAAATTTTAAGTTAATAGGAGTATCATATACAAAAACACAAAAGTTTACATTGACATTGTAATAACCCTGCCTAGAGATCAAAACAGTTACGGATTATGAACGAGTAAAACTTAGTCGTGGGAGAAAATGTATTTAAGCATAACGGGATTTCAAGCATGAGGTGGCTTGAAGCACGAAGTGGCGTGGTGTTTTTTAAACTTGATATTTTACAAAATATAAAATTTTGCGGAAGCACGACACAACATCTCGGGATTGACGTGCTCGGGATCAACCAATCGTGACAAATCCGCAAGCACGACTAACCCGTAAGCACGAGGTGTCGCGATTTTATGTGACGAGTCATTGGAAGCACGAGAAATCTGCAATCACGACAAATCCGTAAACACGACAAATCTGCAAGCACGACAAAACCGTAAGCATGAGGTGTCTCAATCGTGTCCAACGAGTCATCGGGAAGCACGACACACTTATGTTGATCGTCCTCCTTGCCTACCTGCTCGTCTAAGCCTATAGATAGAACCTAGTAGCTCCCATCTTTTTACAATGAAACCGTTCCAAACCACTGATAAAATCAGTCTAGAAAACCCGAACCTTTGTCCATATTCGTGATCCAGTCCATACCATAATCGTGAACCACCGTCTAGTATCAGGAAATACTTTGTTTGAGAGTATAGCCTAAGTTATGTCCGCTTTCGTGAAGGATACTCAGTAGTCCGTGGAACAGCCAAAGAACCAAATCCGGTCTAGATAGTAAATATGAATCTAAGCCCTAACCGTTGAGAAAAAGGTGAGTCTTGGTGATGCTTGTTGTGTGTTAGATGAGTAAAACACAGGTGTTTGTTTATTGTTATAGCCGTAGAGGTTCATGCTAGAATTTTTGGAATTTGGTTAAGTGTTTTCTTTGATTGTTTGTGTATAATGTTTAGTTGTGTGATTGCGTGATGCATGAGTCATGTGATTATTGTATTTGCACTTGTCACTAATCTTTGTGGATGCAGAGTTTCAAGAGAAAGCTGATTCGTATGTGATATGTGTCTATATATGCGAATTTAAGGTAAATTTTATGTGTTGTGTGTGGAGTAAGGTATATTGCATGTGATCAAAAAGATCATGTAATATCTTAACGTTCTAACATTCTAACTTTCTAACAATGGTAGAGAGCGGTTGACACTTCCTGATATCGGGAGTCACAGAGGGACGGGATTGCAATCTATGGCAGTGACTTTGCCGAGTAATCTACTGAGGGACGGAATTGCATCCTTTGGCCATTGTATTACAGACTCAGATCACTGGCCTTTTAACCGTTGTGGTTAGGACCGAGTGAAGTAAAAGGGACAATGGAAGAAAGTTGTCAATTCGCTGTATAGGGTTTTGCTAGCTAACATCTAACATCTTATATTGAAAGAGGACTACAGTAAGAGGTCCTCTAAATGTGTTGCGATTGAGTATCTTTTTCGCATGTG